TTACTATCCGCAGCGGGAAGTTAGGATTAAAAGTGATGTTTGTGGGTGCCATGATTGGCTACACTGACACAGGAAGTTTAGACATTTACCTCCACCAGCAGGACAACTTAACTCGTCTCACACTCTGAGTTGGCCTTGGCCTAGGATTAAACAGCTAATGGATGTCTTTGGCTAACCTCTTAATCACTTTGCTGCCCCTGACTCACAGTTACCTCTCAACCTATTTAGTCCTCCAATTTATTGCACACAAGAATGATAGCAACAAGGTGTATACATTTACGCGGGAACCAAGTAGCAGGGAAACAGTTTGTGTTGAGGTTTAGGCAAACAAATCCTGGCCGAAGACTCGCACAGAGGCGGGGGTGGGGATCAGGGGAAGTTGCCAGCGACTTATTCATCCGCCCAATATACAAGAAAAAACAGCTATTGCTAACATAAAAACGTCTTCATCATTTTCAAAACATATATTTGCGATATCGGTAGACATCAATACTGTAATAAGTTTGGGAAAATAATAATCCGAGAGAGAAAGCGCGGCAAGAGGGCGGGGGAGTATGCAGATGTGAGTGGGAGCCCGGGGTAACGGTGCTCCTAGCCTCATATATCCCTATTAGCAGCCTTATTCCCCCCGTCCACACAGGTCACTCTCCCGTGTGCCTGCACCGCAAGACATAATCCCGGCCCATCCCCGCAGCTACATAATTTGGGTCAAAATAGTCGGGAGTACACGAGCAATTTTCCACTCATGAAGATGATAACAAGCGTTCAATATTGATTTGACATTTATTTGAGTTCTGAATGAAGGGGTGATGGTCACCACGCCATGACAAACACCAGTCACCACACCCCCACAACTACCACCACACCCCCACAACTACCACCACACCCCCACAACTACCACCACACTCCCACAACTACCACCACACTCCCACAACTACCACCACACTCCCACAACTACCACCACACTCCCACAACTACCACCACACTCCCACAACTACCACCACACTCCCACAACTACCACCACACCCCCACAACTACCACCACACTCCCACAACTACCACCACACTCCCACAACTACCACCACACTCCCACAACTACCACCACACTCCCACAACTACCACCACACCCCCACAACTACCACCACACCCCCACAACTACCACCACACCCCCACAACTACCACCACACCCCCACAACTACCACCACACCCCCACAACTACCACCACACCCCCACAACTACCACCACACCCCCACAACTACCACCACACCCCCACAACTACCACCACACCCCCACAACTACCACCACACCCCCACAACTACCACCACACCCCCACAACTACCACCACACCCCCACAACTACCACCACACCCCCACAACTACCACCACACCCCCACAACTACCACCACACCCCACAACCACCCACAACTACCACCACACCCCCACAACTACCACCACACCCCCACAACTACCACCACACCCCCACAACTACCACCACACTCCCACAACTACCACCACACTCCCACCACACTCCCACCACACTCCCACCACACTCCCACAACTACCACCACACTCCCACAACTACCACCACACCCCCACAACTACCACCACACCCCCACAACTACCACCACACCCCCACAACTACCACCACACCCCCACAACTACCACCACACTCCCACAACTACCACCACACCCCCACAACTACCACCACACCCCCACAACTACCACCACACTCCCACAACTACCACACCCCCACAACGCAGGCTAGTATACAATACCCACAATCAGGACAACTGGCAAGCCTAGTGTTGAAGAGGTCGCCTTGACCTGACCTCTTCTAACCCCACCTCACCTCACTTAATGTCCTTCCCCCTATCCCCCCCCCCCCCCTCTGTGTACTGACCTGCTAATAGTCACCCGCTCGTTACCGAAGCCCTCCCCCCCCCCCCAAAGAATACACCAAACCAGAACTGCAGGCCATTCTGGCGTGTTTGGAGGAAGTACGTCATGACGACAAAAATGTTTTTGTATTTGTCGATAGCCGAGGAGCACTGGAGTCCTTAAACAGTAGAAACCCAGTCTTCATGTCTATAGTGGAGGACTGTAAGAGAAGAATAACTGAGATACAGCTGAAAGGTTATAGTGTGAAATTCATGTGGATTCCATCTCATGTTGGAATAGTGCTCAACGAGGTGGCGGATGACTTGGCCAAACGTGCCACATCAAAACCGCAAGTTGACATTGAATGTGAATTCACAATGAGACAAATAAGAAGCAAAATCAGAAATATTCAGGCACAGGCGGGAGTGGAGAGGAGAGAGATAATGTATGAGAGTAGTCAAACCATGCAACACTACATGTATGTGAGTCAAAACACCCATTTCACTTATGGTAAAAGGAGAAATGCTTGGAGTGACTCGGTGTACATGCGGCTCAGGCTTGGGTACAAATATTACTGGGAATATGGGATAGATGTTCATGGTAATGACACGAAGTGTAAACTATGTGGTATGTTAAGGTCTCACACCCTTACCCATTATATTCTTGATTGTCCGTTGATTAGTGTATATAGAAACACTGAGATAAGGACTGTTCCTGAACAAATAGCCTGGATGTGTCACAACGGAAAGGTTGATGATATTCTTGAGAGATATAAGAATTTTGCACCAAGATTGTAATATTTTGTTGAATTATCTGCAGGTGTCTTGCAAATTGTCTATACAGTATACCTAGGTCATAAAAGTATTTGTGTGTACGTCTGATACCATACTCCTTGTGAGGGAGGAAATGTATATTTTTACCTCTCAGAATGTTTGGTAATATGTTTATTTGTGATGTGTGTCTATGTATATATTAACACGTTGTACTGAACGGGGTGAGAATAGCTTGAGCTACCTCATCCCTTTGTGTGTATTTTACCTCAATAAACTTATTTCAATTTCAATTTCAATTCACCACCCCAACTCTAAGCATCCTTCACCACCACCCAAACTATCCCAACTCTCAGCTTTATAATTATATATATGCGCTTTACCTACAGTAAGCACACTTGGATTGCATGACTAGGATTCCGGTACTTCATAATTTTTAATTACCTACTTGCCCATTACTGTAACATTTGTAATTCGATTGTATTAATTATTTACTTTTGTCGCATTCAATCATACGGTTATTTCTTTTAATATGCCGCGTTATGTAAAATAGTCATATAGTTATGTAAAATATGTGAATACTTCTTAAGACAGTTTATATTTGGTCAGATCTACTTATTATTATTAATACAGTGTCGGGGATCAGGCAGCCAAGGTGTATTCATACACGTACGTTAAGCTTATATCTAGGTCTAACCCCCCCCCCCAGGTCGAATTACTGACCCCCTCCTCACGGTACCTACTTACTGCTGGGTTAAATGGGGAATTAGGTGATAGAAAATGTGCCCAACCATTTCTGTCCCGCCCGGATTCGTAACCCGGAATTTTTGTGCTTCGGGTGAGACACCATAGACGATATAAATTTTTATTAATTTGAAATAATAATAATGTATTTGCAACTGCTAGTTGCATGGGATGGTTGCACCTGCAGTTGCTAATAGTTTGGAACTGAAGCTGCTGGAAATTTTTTGCAGCTTCGCGGTTGCTAGAAATTTGCAACTGCGGTTGTTGCAGGTGATGGGGGGTATAATTAGGGCCGCAGCCAGATTCACGAAGCAGTTACGCAAGTACTTACGAACGTGTACATCTTTCCTCAATTTTTGACACCTTTGGTTATATTTATTAAACAGTTTACAAGCATGAAAACTTTCCAATCAACTGTTTTTATTGTTATAAACAGCCTCCTGGTGCTTCGGAGCTCATTAACTGTTTAATAATTGTAAACGAAGCCGCCCAAAATTGAGAAAAGATGGACAGGTTCGTAGTGCTTGCGTAACTGCTTCGTGAATCTAGCTGTGGCCCTAATTATAGGGGGGGGGGCCCTCCGTGCCTGCCGGCCTGATGTTCTTATTTTTTTTAATTGGAATTGAATTGAATTGAATTTAGTACACATTACCCACAGGCCAGAGTGTCAGCGGGCCTATCGTAAAAATCCTGGTTGGACATGGATGGGTTCGAGCCTCCAGAACCTCCCAGTGAATTCAGTAGAGTTCAGAGTTAGCTTTTTTGTCCTACAGTGCCCAATCACCTGAAACCCCACAACCCAACCCAATGGTTTATAAACCATTATTGTTTATGAACTGTTACGGCCAATAGACGACTATATGAGCTCCAATAGCTTATAATAAGTCGTTTTTTTCGGTGACAGGAAGCCTCTTCGTGGACCCCCCTCACTCCTTACCTTGAGTACCTTGAGGTGCTTCCGGGGCTTAGCGTCCCCGCGGCCCGGTCGTCGACCAGGCCTCCTGGTTGCCGGACTGATCAACCAGGCTGTTGGACGCGGCTGCTCGCAGCCTGACGTACGAACTACTGACCCGCCCCAGGATGCAACACCACAACAAACAATTTCTTGTTTGAGGAGCTGTTCACTTGAGACAGTTAAGCAAGTCCCAGCTGTGTCTGGGTACAAGAGACAGGATGAACAACCCAGCGGGTTTTCTTCCTTTTGGGGAGTGTTGTACATGCTGTTATGGTGGTATGTCCACTCACAAGAGGAGTGGCGTTGCCCAATAAACTTGCCCCTTGGGGCAAAATAAAAAATTAACCACAACAAACTGACTAACTCCTGGGTACCTATTGACTGGTAGGTGATCAGGAGCATTAGTTGATAGGAAGCGTTCCCCACCATTTGTCGAGTAAGGGAATCGAACCCTGGACCCCTGATTAAATTTTAAATTTTGCCCCGAGGGGCGAGTTTATTGGGCAGCGCCACTCATCTTGTGAGTGGATATACCGCCATAGCACCTGATTTGTGAGTCGAGAATGAAGCCTTATGGCGTCTCAACAAATGATCCTTCACTTGCATTATGGGGTGCCATAAGAGCATTCAACTGTGCCAAAAGAGTCATACTCACCAGACTATCAAGCGGTGACCATCCCACCGTCCTGGTGGTCCTGCTGGTAGTGGTGGTGGTAGTAATGGTAGTGGAGGTGGTGCTGGTGACAGGTGCAGCTAGCTTAACGGGAGGATTTGACCCTGCCATCATCTGCGTGCTGCAGACACCTCACCATGGCGCGTCAGTAATTCATGATGATGCTTTAGGAAGGCTTGAATGCTATTATTTTATATATATATAAAGAGTTAGAGTTGATGGATGAGGAAGGCGGCGGCGAGGACTGGACGCCGACGTGTTGATGGAGTCAGCTGGTGGCGGTGTTGCAAGCTTTACGTTTTCTATGGATGGTTGCGCGGGGGGATTTAAATTATATTATTATTATAGATGTGGCCTAATTTTGGGGGCAGTACTTGCTATTTTATATGTAGTCTTCTCCCAATAAAATGTACTCCTCGCTGAAGGGCCCTTTAAGGGCGATAAGTATTCTTGATGGAAATTGATTCTGGTACTATGAAGTCCGAATCATGAAGGACCCATCAGGGGGCCCACCGGCACCAGGAGGACCCACTACAGGGGTTTTGTACTCATTAAAGTATTATTTTGTAATTATTAAAGAATAGGAATGTTTCAAAATACAGTATTCCTTTCAAAACTATGCATAATATAACTTTACTAATTAACAATTATATATTAATAATAATTTTTATTTAGGTAAAGGTACATACATAAAGAGATTTTACAAAGTTTGTTGGCTTTATAGATAGAGCTAGTACATACAATGCCTAAAGCTACTATTACGCAAAGCGTTTCGGGCAGAAAGGCTTGAATGTATATATCATATTAGTATGTTACATATCATATTAGTATGATATGAGGAGTCTACATAAATGTGTAGACAGCCTTTGAAGCCAACCCGTTCTCGCAAATTCGTAAAGTCAATATTGACTTATTAACTACGTGCATAGGTGATATACTAAACATAATAGATACCCTTAAAAAGATTTATAGAAAACACCGACCTTACCTAACCTTGTTAGTATCCTAAGATAAGCATCTTATTGCTTCGTAATTACAATTATTACTTAACCTATACCTATTATAGGTTAGGTAATAATTGTAATTACGAAGCAATAAGATGCTTATCTTAAGATACTAACAAGGTTAGGTAAGGTCGGTGTTTTCTATGAATCTTTTTAAGGGTATCTATTATGTTAAGTATGTCACCTATGCACATATTTAATAAGGAATAGCCACTGACCAGTCGGGGCCATTTAGCTGTTTTGTCATAGCCCCCCCCCCCCCGAAAAAAAGGGCCAGCCCTAATTATATAGATTCAAAATCTGCAAGTCTTGATTAATCAGGGAACAGGATCGTACATTTAATGAAAAGTACAAAATTTGTAAATGTATAACCAACGTGGTGGTAGCAGAAGTTTTAAACACATATGGCAAAATCTTACTGAAGCGACCATACGAGTCATAAATACTCATACTCCGCCTAAGTAAAACAGAAACAAGCAACACTTAGTGAGCCAGCCAGAGGCTTAGGACCCGCGCAGGAATATCCCTGAAAAAAAAAAAACGTGGTGGTACCCAGTGTAGCCCGGGGGGAGGGGGTCGGTCTCTCTCCATTTCAGACCTTAGTGGAGTATTTGAGAGTTGCAATAGGAGTGGATCCTTTTATTAAGAAGCAATGAGTCAACTCCATTATACCCAATTGATCAGGGATACCTGATTGTTTTTTTTCAGTTATATCGAACAAAGATTAGAGAAAGGATAAGGCAAATAGGACACTGGGATTTATTAATCGAAGCGTTACTAATACGACACCTGGTGTTGTTCTTCAGCTATATCTTGTTCAGGGTAGGCCCCATTTAGATTATGCAGTTCAGTTTTGGTCGCCATACTATAGAATGGATATAAATTCACTTGAACGTGTCCAGCATAGGATGACAAAGTTAATCCCCCAAATTGGAAACATGTCATATGAAGAAAGATTAACAAAGCTTAAATTGCATTCACTGGAAAGGCGAAGAGTTAGGGGTGACATGATACAGGTTTACAAGTGGATGAATGGACATAACAAAGGGGATATTAATAGGGTATTAAAAGTATCAAGGATGTAGCTGCTGTGGACTTGCCGGCCGACCATGGCGACCGATGGTGGTTCGCACAGCGTTTCTCCAGTGGACATTTCCGATCCCTTTGAGGGTTTTTAGGACCCATTGTCCCTTGGCACGCATTCTGGTCACGACGTTCTCCCGGTCTTAGAGGGTTGATCCCGAGGGTGTTTTTCTGGACAGTAAACATAATAGTAAGGCTAATAGATTGGAGGCGAAACGTCGCCTGCGTCCTGCGGTGCCCTGTGACCCCTTGCAACTTCTGTCTCCACACCCTCCCGGTCGGACGAGTTCTCCTGGCCTACGTACGTTCATCATCGCCTTTGATGCCGATACGCCCGCTGATCGGAGTGTTTTTGGTGGTGTTGTGATTGCGAAGTCGGATTGCGAAAGGGATCTGGGAGTTATGATTAGTAAGAATTTAAAACAAAAGGATCAATGCATAAATGTTCGTAATAAGGCAAATCGGACACTTGGATTTATTAATCGCAGCGTTAGTAACAAGACACCTGGTGTGGTTCTCAAGCTATATCTTGCTCTAGTTAGGCCCCATTTAGATTATGCAGTTCAGTTTTGGTCGCCATATTATAGAATGGATATAAATTCACTTGAACGTGTCCAGCGTAGGATGACTAAGTTAATTCCCCAAATTAGAAATCTTTCATATGAAGAAAGATTAACAAAGCTTAAGTTGCATTCACTGGAAAGGCGAAGAGTTAGGGGTGACATGATAGAGGTTTACAAGTGGATGAATGGACATAACCGGGGGGATATTAATAGGGTATTAAAAGTATCAACACAGGACAGAACACGAAACAATGGGTATAAATTGGATAAGTTTAGATTTAGGAAAGACTTGGAAATAATAGGGCACGCAGTCTTTTCTATCAAGCTGTTCCAGAGTTCTTTAAGATCAAGGTGCACGATTTCAGGCCGAATAAATGCAGGAACTTGATTGCCGTGGATCATGCTTCCTCTGGGGACTTGATGCTTTCGGACGTTACTGATATCTGTGGTTACAAGGTCCGTTGTTATTCGCCTCTGGGTTTGGAACGATATTTGGTCCGGCATGTTGTTGACGTTAGTGCAGGCGACATCAAGGCGCAACTGCAGAATGATGACATTCCGATCTTTGGTGTCAAGAAATTTATGCATAGAATTGATGGCGACCTGTGATACCGGCACTGCCCTCCTTACTTTTCTTGACTCCCTTCCCCCTGATCGGGTTTGGATTAATGGCTTCCTCCATAAATTGGAGGTGTACGTTCCCCATCCCACTCAGTGCTTTCGTTGTAAGGGTTTTCAGCATACCTTCCTTGGCTGCACCAATGACGTCCGTTGTGGCAAATGTCCTGGCTTCCATTTCACTCGTGACTGTGAGTCCGACAAGCTCTATTGCCCCAACTGTTGTGGTGATCATGCCATCACTTTCAAGCAGTGTTCTTCCTACGTTGCGGCGCTTACTAAGGCTCTTCTCGTCATCACTCCGCCCTCCAGTCGAGCTTTGCCTAATCCTGCCGCGGTTCCTCGTCATCCGCCGCCGCCATTGCCTGACCCGTTTGTCACTGACGTTCCTCTCGCCCCTGAGGCTTCTTCTCTCCCACCCACCGTTCAACTGAGTCCCGATCTTGTTGATGCTATTGTCGCTCGCGTTGTGGATGCACTCGAGACGGTGCTGGTCCACCTCATCACTAAATTCTTTCTGCAGCCCGTCCTTCACGTTCCTGAGGCTGACCCGTCGCTCCTCTCCTCAGCGTCTTCTACGGTTGACGTCCATCCTCCCGCAGCTGCCTCTGCTATCTCCACTGCGTTTGAATCGATGCTGGGCAACGCCCTTCGGAATTCTTTAGCGAGCCTTCCTGTGTCTCTCCCCAGGCTGCCTTGCCGCACATCTCTGGCCCCTGTACTAAGCGGAAGCAATCCTCCGACGTCCTGATTTCCAAGCGCCCTACCCCCTTGCCTGATGGGTCTCTTACATCGCGTTCTCCCACGACTTGTCCTCGCGCCCTTCCTAGGTCTTCCGTTGTCCTGCTGGCGCTTCTGCGGAGGCCGATGCGTTAGCGTCCCAGTCGTAAGGCTCTTGATGCCATCTACCTACCTTGCCCTGTCCTAACCTCGCCTGTCCCGTCTTGACTTCCTCTACCCTTCTACACATTCGCACTTGCCTCCTTCACATCCTTTGCCCCCGCCCTTCGTCTCTTGCCTCCGTCCCTGGCTTTCTTTACTGCGGCAACACTTTGCGTTCGCCTTCTGTTTTCTTTATTTTCCTCCTACGTTCCTTTCCTCTTGTTTATTTTGCCTTTATCCTGTAGGTCGGTGTTCAATCCCCGACCGTTTAAGTGGTTGGGCACCATTCCTTTCTCCCCGTCCAATCCCAAATCCTTATCTTGACCCCTTCCCAGTATAGGCGTAATGGCTTGGCGCTTTCCCCGTGATAGTTCCCTTCCCTTACCTTTATCCTAGCCCGCCTTGACGGCGTCGTTATCTTCTTGACTTGGGCACGTCTTGACCGTTGATGTGTTGTTGTGCATTGCCATATACGCATCTTTCTACATTACCACTCGTGCAGTCATCGGGAGGATGCATCTTCAGGCAAACTGCACATATTACGAAGAAGAAGAAAAGTATCAACACAAGACAGAACACGAAACAATGGATATAAATTGGATAAGTTTAGAATTAGGAAATACTTGGGTAAATACTGGTTCGGTAACAGGGTTGTTTTGTGGAACCAATTACCCCGTAACGTGGTAGAGGTGGGGTCCCTTGATTGTTTCAAACGTGGATTGGACATGTATATGAGTGGGATTGGGTGGTTATAAATAGGAGCTGCGTGGTATGGGCCAATAGACATTTTGCAGTTACCTTTATTCTTATGTTAATTGTTTTCATAAGAACATAAGAACAAAGGTAACTGCAAAAGGTCTATTGGCCCATACGAGGCAGCTCCTATCTATAACCACCCAATCCCACTCATATACATGTCTAACCCACGCTTGAAACAATCGAGGGACCCCCCTCCACCACGTTATGCGGTAATTGGTTCCACAAATCAACATTACCCTATTAATATCCCCTTTAATGTCCATTCATCCACTTGTAAACCTCTATCATGTCACCCCTAACTCTTCGCCTTTCCAGTGAATGCAATTTAAGCTTTGTTAATCTTTCCTCATAAGAAAGATTTCTAATTTGGGGAATTAGAAAATTTTCATGGTTTTAAAGTAAACCATGAAAATGCGTTGGTAAATGGTTGGAGTAAGCATAAAAAACCCACAGAAAAACACATCCACGATTTTATTTCAGACTTCATGAGTATCTCAGATTGGAGATCAAAAATTGATTGTTGAAAAATTGGAGCACTACAGATACTGTACCAATATTTTTAAAGCAAGGCACTTGGGTTGACTCTAGCTGGCTTATGACACTCCCATACCCACCATGTTTCATAGTGGAAAGGTTGGTGAGGGTAGCCACACCATCTGGCACTCATGCTTTGGACTGACAAACAAACATTCTATTTTATAGATGTACTGTAGATTATTTGACTTATTAGAAACATGTTGAAATATTGCAAACATATACAATATAGGATCTATGAAAACTATTGTACAGTATAAACCTTCACAATTCTTGCCAGCTTAAATCTAAATCACTCTTTAGGATACAAAATAAAATCCAATAAAACAACAACGTTCATAAAAAAATTATTAATAAATTATATACTATGTATTACACTAAACTACTTATAAATAATTGCTTAAAAAAGAAAAACCATTGACTGGCAACATCAGCTGGCAATCAAAAGTTGTTTTGAATATGTATGTACAGTACGTAAGTATATATAGGTGGGTGTACATGTGTGTGTGTGTGTGTGTGTGTGTGTGTGTGTGTGTGTGTGTGTGTGTGTGTGTGTGTGTGTGTGTGTGTGTGTGTGTGTGTGTGTGTGTGTGTGTGCCAATCTTCCCTGAGCATAAGAGAGAGAACATAATACAATAACCCCATAAATGGTGCCAGTCTATGGCAGAGAGTATGTAATGCATCAAGTAAAACGAGGCAGATGCCTTTGGTGTTCATTAATTAGTAAGCTCATGGTAAACATATTTATTCACAATCACTGGTACACTCTTGGTGAACAGTGGTGTACACATTGAACATACTGTCGTGCATTACCTGCTGAACCCATATGAATTGTGAAGATAATGATAAATGTATTAAGATAATGTAATGTATTGTGAATTATGAAGATAATGATAAATCCTTTTGTAAATGGCAATGCATTAATTCCATCATTTACCTCAACTGTTTTTTATAATCTCTTCACTAACCTGTATACAGCTGTATTAATAAAAAATGATGACCAAACCACAACTCAGAAGATGGAGAAGCGACAACATTTTGGTCCATCCTGGACCATTATCAGGTCAATTTAAGACCCACCTATTACTAACTTGGCCAATTAAATGAAAATACATTGAAGATTACATCTTATGAGAGTCATCCATGTCACAATGATCGAAGTGTCAAGTGACGTGGGACAATGGAGACTGGATACATATTATCATTGACAAAATTTGAACTGGAGGCCCATGTAAACATGTTCTGTACTAAGGTCTGGTGTGGATAACAAGAAACTCATTTACAAAAAAGTATGTACAATAATATACACATTATTACTCTGCAGTGTTGATACAAACCTATACCAGTTACACATCTCCCCAGTTAGGGTAAGCATCCTTTATAAAGGTGGCATCATGGCCTCGACTTGTAGCCCAAGATGTGTTCCTCTTGAAGGATTTACAGAGATGGGCAACCATTTATCAAACATTTAATCAAGTTTGATAAATATATAGTGATTCTCTACACCCAGCATCAAATTAGACAGGCCCCCCAACCTTGCAAGCACATCCTAGGATGCTATCTGGTACTAGCATGTACAGTACTAGAATTGTAACTTTATATAATGTGTCTGGCTGCTAAGATACATTAGGGCCTTGCTTGTGGTATAAATTAGGATCTTGCATGCTAGCAAATGCTTGGCCCTTGGCTACCTTCAAATAGGCTGCCGCATTTGAATAACTACGTAGGCCAAAACTCTGCTTGGAATCAAGTACAAAGTCCTGTCTGCTAGCATACAATTAATATATTGCTAGCATTACACCCTGTCTGCTAGCATGCACCAAGACTGCCTTTTGGCATGCATTAGAACTGTCACCTGTAGCATAGTTTTATAAGCTTGTGCGTTTTAGAGAGCATTTCACCAGGAGTCAAGCTGCTACTATTTAACAGGACCCAGCCTGCTAGCATTTAGTTATTATTTAAGTGTGTTAAATATTAAACAGGATCCTGAGTTGTAGAAGTCATTCCAAATGAGAATATGGGACAAGATGTACCGTCTCAAGCAGGTATTAATACCTTCCCTCCGGACACAGCTTCCAATTCCTCATTACTCAATGGTAATCAAAGTACTTGTGGACATTACTCCTATCTTTTCAAATATTCAGGCTTTAAACCGTAATTTCCACTAATTTATCACTAAATATGCCTTTAGAATGTTTTATAAATAAAAAACCTATTTATTAAGTAATGCCCAATAACATTTAAAACTATACAAATTAACACATTTTTGGTCACAGGTACAGGAGAGCAGAGCTTCACTTTCATGGTACTATATATTAAAATACTAGGACTGTGCAGCACAAGTCATAGCAATCACGCACCCGTGCACCATAAATACAGTGTACCGACAATCCTGTACCTGTGCAACACAACAGTTCTGCACCTGTGCAACACAAATCATAGCAATACATCACAGAGCTCTTTCATAAATATATACATAGCCTATTCTCATCAAATTTTAACCTCTTCAGAATAAATCTGTGAGATACAGTATTTGCAGGCATGATTCAACTGTACAAAGAAGCAGCAGATCATGGAGACAATTATGAAGCCTCACAGCTGAAGAATCTTAGCTCTTAGGAGAGATAAGGTCTGGGAGCTCTTAGTGAGCAAACCTGTAGTAGGGGCTGGTAACAGGAGAGTGTCGATGGACCTCGACAGGTTGAGGTGGTCGCAAGCGTGCCTTGGTGACCCTGGCCTTAACACACGAGTAGAAGGTGGAGAGCAGTGCCAGTAGTAGCACTGCCAGCAACACACCAAATGCCAGGATCATCTTGTAGGGTGTCACACAGAACATGTTTTCATCGCTAAGAGAAGTAATGGGAGTCAGTATCATCTTACTTTTGTTGTTAACATAAATATACAGTACATGTAAAATTGCCACAGATTATTAGCATAAACTGTATAAATGCTTATCCTAAGGCTCTAGCCATTCTTGTAATGGACTTAACACATTCATCACTGGATATGGCAAAAAGTCTGAACACAGCAAATGATGTTATCTGGGTCACCTCAGATGTGTTTACCTCAGATCTACCTCAGTCACATGATGCCAGGATCCAACATTCTAAAATACAGTAATAATTACTCAATTCATTATTATGCATTAGGCAATGTGCCTATTTTGTGGAGCTTATGGGTTTGTTTAAAAGTCTGCCTGTTTCAAAAGAAATGCCATTAGGTCAGGTATACATATGGAAATATTTTGAAAAGTTTTATAAATACTGTACTGTATAGGTACAAGTAACTTGACAGATGATTCAAGTCAAACCAAATATATAAAACAAATGAAAACTCATTTTTTTTTTTTTTTTTTTTTTTTTTTTTTGAGATATATACAAGAGTTGTTACATTCTTGTACAGCCACTAGTACGCGTAGCGTTTCGGGCAAGTCCTTAATCCTATGGTCCCTGGAATACGATCCCCTGCCGCGAAGAATCGTTTTTTCATCCAAGTACACATTTTACTGTTGCGTTAAACAGAGGCTACAGTTAAGGAATTGCGCCCAGTAAATCCTCCCCGGCCAGGATACGAACCCATGACATAGCGCTCGCGGAACGCCAGGCGAGTGTCTTACCACTACACCACGGAGACTGCTCATGACCCACAATAATGAAGATTTCTTAAAGCATTCTTATGATTTCAATAATAATGACTAGAATTTTAAATGAAGCATCACATGACTATCCTAATTACTGTATGTCTCTTAGAAAGCATGTGCATTTGGAAGGAAAAAAAACAGCTTAACAATTAGTACTTGGCTTTTGGTTAGAGTGGCCAGTTCATCACCCAAAAGTCCTGGGGTCAATTTCCTTGGTAGGACAGTAATGTTTTCGCATGCTTCCTTTCATCAGATTACTCTGTTTACCTAGCAGTAAACAGGTACCTGGGAGTTAGGCAACTGCTGTGGGCTGCATCCTGTGGAAAGCCAGCTAAATGAGCTAAAATCTGGCTGGCTGTGGAAAGCCAGCCAGAGGATGAGCTAAAGCTCTAGGGGTCCTGCCTCTCAACCCTTATAGAATTGGTGTATTGAACTGCCATATGTACATTTAAATCTGTGAATGGTGTCTGCCTCCATCACTTTACTTCTTAGCATATGTATTTGATTTGTTCACTATCCTGACACTGAACAATTTGTTTACAATGTCTCTATGCCTCATTAAAAGTACTTAATTCCTATCTGTGTCCCCTTGTTCTTATACTACACCATACTAGATAATCTTTCCTGACTTTTTTCCATGAGTATTTTATATGTGGTGATCATACTTCCCCTGTTTCTTCTCTTTCCAGTGATGAGAAGTTTAACTACTTTAGTCTTTCCTTGAAACTCATACTTTTCACCTCTGGGACTAGTCTGGTGGCACATCTCTGAGCTTTCCTCTGCACTGTATTGTATTTAACAAGGAAAGGGCTCCATGATGGTGCCACATATTCCAGAAATGGTTCAACATACAGTAAATGGTATAAAAGGTCCTGATGATATTTGTTTAATATAGGCTTCTGCTGACAGGTTCATTTTAGTATAAGCCTTCAAGTCTTTTTCCTAATCTGATTTCAGGACTCCAGCTTTCCTCTCTATTGTACCTTGTTTCCACGTGAGTGTGCATGCATCCATGCTTCCATTCACGATTGTATGCATGTACTGTATGGAACAGTACACTACAGTATATGAATAGTGTACATTTTAGTAATAAATTTTAATTTGTATCTCACCTGAAGAAGTCGACGGAGTCAGTTGGTTCACGGTCTATGCGGTACTGCTTCACCAAGTCTGGTTGGCTCTCTATACCTGGAGCTCGCACTTCCACCGAGTTGAAAACTTCCACCCGGTCCAGCAACCTGCTTGCCAGAGCCCTGTCATTACCACGACTTCCCTGCCAAGCAACGAGGAACAATTTACCAGTGCTGTTGACCTTCAAATGATGGCTTGCAGCATAAGACCTATAGAGGTTCACCCATTTGATAATTGTCACTTTTGAAAATTTATATTAATGCTTGTAAGTCTTAATGCAACCTTCAGAGAGTCACAAAGAAATGGATTCATTATTTGAATAAAATAAATACCGATAACTGCTCATTTGGGACTCTCGCAAGGATATACACAAACATAAACAAAAAAATGTAATCCTTTTTGACCCTACTGCTGAACAAGATGAGAATAGCATGAGGTACCTCATACTTTTGTGTGTATTTATTCCTCAATAAAAATGTGACCCTCCAGGAAAAGAAGACAAGTCTTGAGATGATGGAATAGTTTACCTTGAGTTGTGCTGGTTGGGCCTCCTCTATGTCTAGTATGGGCTGGATGCTGCCCTCACCTGGTCCACCTAGCCGTCTACCCACACGGTTGGTTGTCCGTCCACACACAGGCTGCATCAAATATATTACCGACACTCAGTAAAACTGATAAGATAAATCAAAACTAAGAAGGAATGGAGAATACTGCAGGTAGACCTGACCAAACAAAAGGAACAGACTAACAAAATGGGTGCATGCTTTTAACTTAAGCATATGCAAGGTGATGAAATTCGGAAAAGTGGTGAGAAGTCTACAGGAGCAAGAGAAAGATTTGTACTTCGTACTTTCTCTTGCCTTGGTTACTCTTTACATTTTATCAACTGTGCCTATTCTCAAGCTAAATAAAATTTCTTTCATCCTAAACCTGCTTCCAACTCTACTAGCACTGTGCTATGCCTTCCCTTCATATCTGAACTCAAAACTCTTACTAATACCCTTCGACCTCTTGACATAAAGCTCGCCTTTCATCAAACTAACACTCTTCATACTAATCTTGTTCACACTTCTCCTCCTGTTTCTAATGCTGTTGGTGTCCACTCTATTTCCTGTGGTCCTTTCTTATTTCCATTTTGTCTTCTCAAATACTTTGGGGAACTGGCTGTACATTTAATGACAGACATAAGGAACACAAAAGAAGTATTAAGTCTGCAGATATAAACATTGCTCTCTTCTGTCACGTTAGGAATTCTAATCATCCTATTGATTGGTCTTCTTCTAAAATAATTTTTCCTGCCTCTACTCTTCACAGACACCATCTTGTCGACTCTGTTCTGATACACAACCTACTCAACATGAACCTGAGTCCTGGCTTTGTTGCTGTTGACTCTTTCCTTTCACAGTACATACTCAAATGTTCTAAACTTTCTAACAAACATGACCTAACATAAGCCTACCCATTTTTTTTATCTTTCTCTTTCCTCTTCTTTTACTTTCTCTTTCATTCCCATTTACTCTTTTATTACCCCACGTATTATTACTTTATTACATGTATCTTTTGCCTTGCTTTTACCTCCCTCTAAGATTTCCTCCACCTCACCTCTTTCTTGCCTTACTTATGCCTGTGCCTTTCTCGGCTCTTGACAATCGATTTGATATTTTTTTTTTGTTTTTTGTTTTTTATATGGTCCAAGATGAACTGAAACATCGTAGTCTTTTCATCTTCTAATGTGTGGTTTGGTCAGCCATGTTATTGTGACTCATCATCTGGAGGAGGTATTTCACTTTATATATACAGTACAGTACTGTAATTTCAATAGTAGGTATATTAAGTAGGAAGTAGATTGGAGCCATTGCATTAGACGACTGATAACTGAAAGGCAAGATCTGGGAGCTAAAGCTTGCACTGCAGGCACATATATAGGTAGTCGTGAAAACACACATTCGCTCAGTGGCTCTTGGACCTAAAATCGAGCTCTGGAAAAAGGCCAGAAATTTTAAATATGCAAAAACCAGGAGACAAGGCAATGAGGTGATATGATTACCGTGTACAAAATGGCAAGAATTGACATAATTTATAAAGATCATTTTTTTTTTATATCAGCAGCAAAGAGAAGAAGGTCATAGTTTCAAATAAAAAAACAAAGGTGTCAAAAACTACATGAATTCTGCCTTCAGACAATACACAGCTCCTGTGTTCATATCCCTAAACATGATAAACACACACTCCACACTTTCTCTTGTGCTATTTACACTTACAAGTAAGTGTAAATAGCTTATTCCTAAACACTAATCTTGATTTGAAACTCTTTCAGATGAAATAGAACCCATGAGCATCACACCAAAAATAAATATATTTTTGATATTCTCAGTCAGACTAAATCTGTGCAAACACTTGACAGAAATAAAAAGACCCAATATACAGAACTCACTTCCTAATGAATTTAAAAAATTGTCCAACCTATACTTTATTCAGAAGTAGAACAAAGAAGTACATAATTTCATCTTCCTAGTATCCCAGCTTGTGCTGCTAACTCACACAGTTTATTATTAATGAAATGCAGCATCATCAGTAAAAAAAATTATATCAATTTATAATGTAGTCATTATGTCAAATTCAAATTCTGTTACAGTGTGCATATCATTACATTTATTGGTTAGCTTAAGGACCTCCCTGAAATGTTGCGCACGTTAGTAGCTCTGCAAGAATGTATCGGTCAATCACCACAGTACTGTATGTACTTTCATACCCCAATGTACCTTCATGTATATAAATAAATAAAAGTAACCTACTCCAAATCCTTCGGAGGCTTCAAAATTTTATATGGTAAATATTACAGGAAAGACAGGATGCCACCGGGCATAACTCTAATCTTATAATGACACTTGCATAATTACACACACGAAAGTTGAAGTCATTTCAGTACTAAGGAAAGACCATTTAATAGAGAAATAATGAACATTTGATAATCCATGAGAGATGAATATACAGTACAGCATTATTAATGGAGATAATCATTCAGGCAAATAGATAATACTAAATGACTTGAGGCCTCTGGTAAATGACATTTCAGCAAGAGAGGAACTCTACTGTTATTAAGAGTACTGCTCACAACTTTAATGAAAGACGTAATATCGTAAAGTAAATGAAACAGCATAAGGATTATTGGTCCACACGAGGCAGCTACCATTTATATCCACCCAAATTCATTCATATACATGTCTAACCTACACTTTAAACAATCCAGCAATGTAATGTCTATTATACTACCCAATACCGACTTATCATGATAAAACTAGACCATTGATACTGCATGACTTTAAATTTAAATCTACTGATTGGGAAACTTAAAAGGTAAGAACAGAGAAAATATGTACCATCCAATTCATAAACCTCATTCTTGAGGCCTTTGTGTACCAATACATAAAGCAGACCATGAGAATAAGGGACGGGAATGTCTCATTGTTGTATCACTGCTGGATTGCATATTAACCAGAAAGAATGAAGAAATTTTTGATCTACAGTACCTGCATCCTACAGAGTGATCATACAAAGCTTGAAACTTAATAGAGCAATCATTATGACCAAAAAGATTAGAGAAAGGGAGGTATTGGAGATACTGTACTTAACATTATAAGAAGGTGCTAGGGGGAAATTAAGTGAGTTCATTAGAGGATTTGATTGGGAAGGTTTGTTAACATAAGAGGCTTGGCCTGACAAGCAAGGCATGAAAGGTGTGACATTAGAGGAGTGACATGAGGAGTGTGGAATTACAGGTATGGCATGAGAAGAGTGACAGGAAATCAATCGTTTTGTGTAATCACATCTTTAATGTTTGAATTTTTACCATAATCATTAATGCTACTAATTTTATCATTGTTAAGTAATACAATGAGCCATTATTATTTAACTGTCACTGTGCAAAAAAGGAAAAACTGACCAGACTGCAGGAACCCAGACAGACCAGGACAACGCATCGGAGGTGGAGGTTGTCACGATCTGGGAACTTGAAGGCCTTAAAGGACGCATAGGCCACCTTCACCCCCGTCCGTAGGTTGTTCTTGATTCTACAGGATGAAAACTCTGGTCAGGTATACGTGTGCTAACTGGACAACAAATTTATTTTCATTCTGATTTTGTTACATTTATCAACACAAGAAACTAAAAGAAACTGCAGAAGGCCCACTGGTCCACACAAGGCAGCTCCCATCTATATCCACCTAAACCCACCCACATCATTATGCATGTCCAATCTACCCTTGAAGCAATCCAAGAAGCCCACTCCTACCATGCCACCCGGTAACATGTTCCAAAAATCAATAAACCCCGATTCCTAACCTTGAGCTCCATTTTGTATTGATATACAAATTTAATATACTGTATATTGTGTATATAAATTTTACATTTATTTTCATAGTCCAATAATGAAATGAGGATTGGACAAACTTCTGCTGCAAGTTATGGAGCAAACAATAAAGTTAATAATTCATAATATCCTTTTAAAATAAGGCTTTGGGTTAATATGATGAGCATCTTCTTGTAAAGAATCATTCAAGTGTACTGTGAGGTAAAAACTGTGGTGTCTAGTTAGCAGGACTATAAATATTGGCAGGATGAGATTCAGGCACAAGGAATCAAAGGGGATTTTCAAGCTCCATACAGGGTCATATAAGGTGCTGGATGGGGCAATGAAGATCACCCTGTCCCATCAAGAACAAGCAAGAGAGGGATGTGCATTAAAACTCAGAAGCCTATCCAATCTGTCTCTTTGCATCACAAATGGCTGCCAAAGGAGGGTTTTTAGAGGCTGCTTGTTTCCCTGTCTGACAGTGTTGCTGCATGTAGATCGCCGTTCAATCCCTGACCGTCCAAGTGATTGGGCACCATTCCTTTCCTCCCGTCCCATCCCAAATCCTTATCCTGGTCTATTCCAAGTGCTATATAGTCATAATGACTTGGCACTTTCTTCTAACAGTTCCCTTTCCCCTACTCACACCCAGCATATGACAACATCACCATATCTTTAGTTTTCAAGAGTTCAACCTCATCACTTAAACCTTGGCTGAAGATAACCTAGGCTGTATATTGAAAAGTAGGGACAGAAAAAGAGGTTCTGGGCACAACTAAATGATTCTGCTCATAAAGTTGTTAGTTTATGCCACATTACATCTAGATTCACAAGGCTGAGAATGAGATCAGTGTATACAAAACACAGCTACAACATGATATGGACCAATGGATGAATACTATCATCAACAGTGACCTCTGAACCAACACTGATTGATGCAATGACGAACTTGCAAATCGACATTGTTAAAACACCAATACAAGGTCCATGAAACTGACCTCCTTGTTTGATGGTCCATTGCAGTTTCTCATCCCAGAGATGGCTTTCCTAATCTTGCCAGAAACAACCCTGAGGGGTTGTTTCTGGCAACAATCACTCTCAAATCTGGAATAAACTGCCATGTTATGTGCAGACCAATTGAGATGACACGTAAAGTGTAGTAGGGGATCCTGCTAGATGACATAATTGACCTTGAGGAAGAGGAAGGTCACCACAAAAGATACTTTGTAAGTAGAGCTTCTGGCAGAGGAAGGAAAGATTCGAGGTACACTTAGGTATGTACTATCATCCTCAAGACTGATAAAAACTGCCAGGTCACATCACACGTAGTGCCCCAGCCGACACCTCACCTCATCCTACATGGATATATACCATTACAGTAGATCCTCAATTTAACAAACGTTGATTCTGCAAATCTCCGGTTGAAATGCACACTTTCTGGACTGGATTTACTCACTTGATTCCACAAACAAGAGTTTGCTGAACAGGGGGATTTGTTTATGATATTGGGACAAAGTTCACAGACTGGTGGAAAAGTTGCCCATCATATCATAGGATACAATTAAAGATTCCCTTAGTGAAATCAGCCTATAGAGCATGGGAAATATGATGGTATGAATGGTAACTCTCTTAATTGGACTCCAATCACCTTTTTAATGATTTTCATAGATGGACATAAGATTAGAAAAAAATTGGGGTCTTGTGAAACCCATTGACCATATTTAAAACAAAATTGCATGGTTCTTATTTACAGAATTTCCAGTTTCACAGGGTTTCATTTGGGAAAATATTGGTCTTCTTCCTTTGAAAATGAGTTTTCATGGCTAGGGCATAGATAAATATGCTAGATTTTTTACCAAGAGAAGAGAATTTCCTACACAACCTGCCGAGGCCACAGGTGGAGGGTAAAACTAACCTGAGAGGCGGCATGATGTCGTCATCAATGGCACATCCATGTTCATCAATGAGTTCCTGGCTCTGGTCGCCAGAGCCATCATGAGCAACACAAGAGGTAATACGGGTGTCAAGACCTGGACTCTGGCGCACTTTGAGCACCATGGTGGTGTCGTCACCAACCAGTAGGAAATCCAGCACGGGTTTTCCTGTATCAATGTGACATATTACTTAGTTTATAATATTACAAAACAAAATCATTTCTTTCTATCTAGCTTACTCATTCATTTTCTCACTCACACAAATCTACTTAATTTTATGATAGAGCCACAGAGATTTTACAGGAGAGATGGTTGGGTTGACTATATACAGTATATCTAGATCTAAAAAGGCTTTTTAGACCCTTTCTGTAAATATCACAAGAACATGCTGGAGGAGTGACAGGGAGACTGTTGATAAGGATGAAAACTTTCTGACAGAAAGATCAGAGGCAATGTATCTGACTGGAGGAGTGTTACTAGTGGATTCAAGCTAAAGAAACAAAGGTACCAAAAAAAAGTTAGAAAATTTTCTTTTGCAGACAGACAGACAGACAGAGTGGTAGATGGTTGGAACAAGTGAAGTGAGAAAGTGGTGGAGGCCAAAACCATCAGTAGTTTCAAAGTGTTATATGACAGAGTACTGGGAAGACGGGATACCACAAGTGTAGCTCTCATCCTGTAACTACACTTATGTAATTATACACATATAGTACACACAAACAGAAACACATACAAACATATGTAGCTTTTGTGCAGTCATTAAACAAGTCAAATTCCCATATGTCAATATTATCTTTTTAAATAATTTTTTGTCCTTCATTGCCAGATCCATTCATTTTAACACAAATGCTATGCATTTTGTATACAGTATTTTGAATCAAAACTAACTTAGCAAACTAACCTAAATACATCAACTATTCCACAGTACTGCATAACTTACCTGAAATTAAATAATTCAAATATGTCATTATTGTGAAATTTCTAAATATTGTGTAGTAACAATGAACAGTATAGTACAGTACTGTACTGCCATTGTGAACAATGAGAGATACTTACCATCCATGGTCAATATAGTACTGTACTGCCATTGTGAACAATGAGAGATACTTACCATCCATGGTCAATATAGTACTGTACTGCCATTGTGAACAATGAGAGATACTTACCATCCATGGTCAATATAGTACTGTACTGCCATTGTGAACAATGAGAGATACGTACCATCCATGGTCAATATAGTACTGTACTGCCATTGTGAACAATAAGAGATACTTACCATCCATGGTCAATATAGTACTGTACTGCCATTGTGAACAATGAGAGATACTTACCATCCATGGTCAATATAGTACTGTACTGCCATTGTGAACAATGAGAGATACTTACCATCCATGGTCAATATAGTACTGTACTGCCATTGTGAACAATGAGAGATACTTACCATCCATGTTCTTGCCAGCAACAATATCCATCCAGCATGACACGGGCTCCAAGTTTCCTTCCGGCCGCTGGCTTTCTGTTCCAAAGAATTATGTTTTTAGAATATTTTCCCTTTGGCTTGCCAAAATACTCGAACAACTTTTAATTAATTAATGCTGATTTAGTAGTTATGGTAACTAAGTGATTATATAACTATCTGTAAGTGAAACGAATACCCACCATTACCCACAGCCCATAATGCATACCATTGCAATAATAATAACTATTTATATAGAAATAATATAGTTTATATTCATAAAGTTTAATAAATTTATAATTACAGTACTCATACATATTGTAACACTTTTAACAAGAAGCCCGCTGTGTCAGTAACTCACGCCAGAGGAGCAGCTCTGGGGGAGTGCTGACGGGTTGCCAGTCCTTCATGGGGTCGCCTTGGGCCCGGTTCCTGAGGGACAGGTTCTTATGCCGTTGGGAGACTAGGTGACCCTGCTTCGTCCCAACACTACTGGTGGTAAGGCTCGTGCCTCGACTGGAAGATGAGGATGAGAATGCCCTGTTTGAAGAAGCAGCAGTCACAATAGCTGCAATAGAGTTGTTTTTATCCTTGGTGCGGCCAGCTCTCCTTTCATTGCCTGTGAGAGCATCCTTGTTAACAACACTCATCTGCAAGAGGTCCAGATGTGAGAAGGAAATCAGACACCACTGTATGCATGAGTCAATATATGAAAAAAGTGTACTCAAATATTGTTATAGCTGCTAACTAGCTATTACTTGCTACAGTAGCATGAATGAAGCATCATTAATTCAGTGACAAATTTCAACAGGTTTCACCCTGCAAATACAAGAGATAATTGTATACATAGTAGGTAATACTGTATTTCAAAATGCATTTTCCATAATTTCAGATTAGAGTAGATACATTTGGGTCCAAATCTTTTGTTCCATCTCCAGCTGTAGATCAGATAAGAATAAAAGCATAAGAATATAGGAATAAAGGAAACTGCAGAAGGCTTGTGGTCCCATATGACACAGCTCCTAATTTGACTGTCTTGGCACTGATCAGAACCAGAACTTTTACTCATAACTTAAAACAAATCTTTACAGTATTAGTAGGAAATAACAAGAGTTCATGCCATACACTATTATGGTGAAACAAACTGAACAACACAAAATTTTAAAATAGAATTGCAAAATATATTTTCATGTACAGTACTGTTTTAAGTTAGAATAATCAGACTTACAACATAAATTATACAAATATAGATACAAAAGAAACCCGTACATGAAAGTTTGACATCATCCACAGTTCTGGGGTTAATCTCTATCACTTATACACACATCTCATATAACAAAGATCAGACTCCTACAGGATTATGTGAGATAAAGGTTCCTCACAGGGATTTAGATTGCTTAACAACAAGCTATCTCATTTTTTATACGAATTCATTAATAAAATCAAACATCAAGCTAAAGGTGTCTGCATTTCCTTACTGACGAGCTCCATTATTCTAACCTGTAGACATGACATATCATTGTACCAATCACATATTTCAAAATGTGTTTTCTAAACATTACAATATTTGTAACAATGATAGTAGTCAACAAAAAATGATTGCCTGAGAAAAATAAAGCATTCAATGCAATGAAATGCTCCATTTTTCTGTTACTATTACAGTATAAAGGTTAATTTTGTAATCATTATTTAATAAATCTTCTGGATATTTTATGCAAACTGAATCTATTCATTCAGTGCTTCCAATCAAATGGCAACAACACTTGGAAGATGAGCTTGTGATTGTGACCTGTATGATATGATATAACAGTGGCATCAACAACTTAAAAGTATCTCCATGATACTTACCCAAAGAACCTAACCTCAATGAACTGACCTGTGCAGCAGCCTGCAGTTCTCCTGCATTACGGTCCAGCTTACAGCGTATGTGGACCTGCTCGTCGATTACCTGCTGCACCCACTTGTCAAACTGTATGTACACCAGGAGTTCGTAGGTGTGGTGTCCAAGCTGGGGAAAACAAAAAAATGAGCTGTTAGAAATATAGTGCACAAGCTAGGAGGTAGTAGTAGTAGTAGTAGTAGTAGTAGTAGTACAGTATTAATTTTCTGAGCTTAGGGTCCCCTCAATTGTTACCAGAGCCAGAGCCCAACAGGTTCACCCAGGAGACCATTCATGAGTATGCTCTGCGATTAGGAAAGTAGAGGCATCAGGTGGAAGGAAACATGGCCAACCATCTGTCCTACTACAGGAATCGACCCAGGAAACATTGGTTGTGAGCTGACAACATGGACCACTGCATTACAGGACCCGTAAAATGTCTCAGCTGATGCATAATACTGTACTGTTATGCACTAGTTGAGTACACTCTAGTCTCAACTAGTGTACTATGACACATTTGAACCTAACTTGACCCAGCAACTGACCTCGTCATCTATGACTTTGACCCCACACTTCTGAGCAGGGACAGTGAGAGAGGTGATGGTGGTGCCCGTGCCCATGACCCGACACCTGCTGGGGTAGCCGCGAGCATACACTGACCCAGAGAATGATTCTTCTGTTCGTACTTCCACTGTAAGTGATCCACGGGAACATTTGCTTGTAACACCTGCAAATGTAAAAAAAAAAAAAAAAAAATCCTGAAAAATCTTTATGCATCTGTAGTCAATCAAGAAAACACATCGCCTCTGAAAATTTGTGCAGCCCTCTTAATCATCAGGAGACAACATACACACTTTGAGAAATGATTATGAAAGATTAGAAGATATCTTGGCTGATAATAACTACAAAAAAGCCCAGTTCCATAAGCAAATTAGGAAAAAATAAGCATATGAAGGCAGTTCACCAGAACAGCACTGAATCTTGTAGAAAATTTTTATATATCTCCTTAAATGTTAAAACAACACACGTGAAGTTCATATAACTATAAGAACGTAAAAATTAAGGTAACTGCAGAAAGCCCAATGGCCCATACTAGGCAGCTTCAATGAACATTTGTTCCCTAAATGTTGAAGTGATCATTTTGGATTGGTTGACAATACAGGCTTGAGACTGAAGGCAGTGGACCCTTTATACTGTTATGCTGGGGGGTAAACATTGCAGCCTTAGTACTGTACTATATCAATGAGGTGTTTTATATATAAGTCTAGCATAGAAAATTATCCAGCAGTTATTTGTAGACTTAAGAGCATTATTATGATGTGAAATCATTGTCATTCTCATAGCTAGAGCACTCAATATGGCTCATTATTCCCATATGATACTCTAAAAATAATCCAAATACCTGCACAGCACCATTTGTTCCCACACAGGTGGGCGTGTGATGCCACATATATACTGTACACAGTAAACCTGTACATACCAACAAACTTATTAGAGAGCGCTGACTTGCTGGAGGGTGAGTGACGCTCCTGTTGCTGCTGCTCCTCTGGTCTCTCCCCAACTGCAGTCTGTTGGACACAGTATAATTTACATAATTTGTGAGTGGGAAATGCAAACTTTTCTCGAATATGAACAGTGTTGATCAGTCCTCAGGAGGAAACCCACACCACGTTAGAATACATTAGGTTAGGAAGATTAGGATAGGTTTGATCAAATTTGTTACTTTTAACTCAAATAAAAAAAAACTCATATATATAATATACAGTAATTTCAGGAAAGCTCTCCTTGTTACACAACAGTGTATGTATGTATGTATGTATGTATGTATGTATGTATATATATATATATATATATATATATATATATATATATATATATATATATATATATATATATACAGTATATATATATATATACAGTATATATATATATACAGTATATATATATATATATATATATATATATGTATATATATATATATATATATATATATATATATATATATGTCGTACCTAGTAGCCAGAACTCACTTCTTAGCCTTCTATTCAAGGCCCGATTTGCCTAATAAGCCAAGTTTTCCTGAATTAATATATTTACTATAATTTTTTTCTTATGAAATGATAAAGCAACCCTTTTCTCTATGTATGAGGTCAATTTTTTTTTATTGGAGTTAAAATTAACGTAGATATATGACCGAACCTAACCAACCCTACCTAACCTAACCTAACCTATATTTATAGGTAAGGTTAGGTTAGGTAGCCAAAAAAAGCTAGGTTAGGTTAGGTTAGGTAGACGAAAAAACATTAATTCATGAAAACTTGGCTTATTAGGCAAATCGGGCCTTGAATAGTAGGCTGAGAAGTGCGTTCTGGCTATTAGGTACGACATATATATATATATATATATATATATATATATATATATATATATATATATATGTCGTACCTAATAGCCAGAACTCACTTCTCAGCCTACTATGCAAGGCCCGATTTGCCTAATAAGCCAAGTTTTCATGAATTAATTGTTTTTCGACTACCTAACCTACCTAACCTAACCTAACGTAACTTTTTCGGCTACCTAACCTAACCTAACCTATAAAGATAGGTTAGGTTAGGTTAGGTAGGGTTGGTTAGGTTCGGTCATATATCTACGTCAATTTTAACTCCAATAAAAAAAAATTGACCTCATACATAATGAAATGGGTAGCTATATCATTTCATAAGCAAAAAATTAGAGAAAATATATTAATTCATGAAAACTAGGCTCATTAGGCAAATCGGGCCTTGCATAGTAGGCTGAGAAGTGGGTTCTGGCTACTAGGTACGACATATATATATATATATATACACACACACACACACACGTACTGTATGTGTGTGTACACACTATTCCTCAGGGGAATACCATGGGAAACAGAACTTAGAGACAAGAATGTGCAGGTCATGATGGATTTTGTCACCCAAAAGTGCCAGGAAGCTGCAGACAGGTTTATCCCCGTCCAAAAGGAGAAAAACGAAAAACAACAGTAAAACCCATGGTTCAACCAGGAATGTAAGGTAGCGAAACAACTGAGTAAAAGAACATGGAGAAACTACAGAAATAACAGAACACCAGAGAGCAGGGAGAGATACCAGAGGGCCAGAAATAAGTACATCAGAGTGAGGAGGGAAGCAGAGAGACAGTTTGAAAATGACATTGCGAGTAAAGCCAAGACCCAACCAAAGCTGCTCCACAGCCACATCAGGAGGAAAACAGCAGTGAAGGAACAAGTGATGAAACTGCGGAAAGGGGAGAACAGATACACAGAGAATGACAAGGAGGTGTGTGAAAAACTTAACAAGAGATTCCAGGAGGTCTTCACAATAGAACAAGGAGAAGCCCCTGCACTAAATGAGGAGGCGGCAAACCAAGCAACCTTGGAGGAATTTGACCTCACCAGTGATGAGGTCAAAAGGTGTCTGCTGGAGACAAAGAATGTGCAGGTCACACATGTGACAAAGGCTGTTGGGCCTGATAGAATCTCACCATGGATACTAAAGGAAGGTGCAGAAGCATTGTGCCACTCTCTATGGTGTATAACAGGTCACTGGAAACAGGAGACTTACCAGAAAGTTGGAAGACAGCTAACGTGGTCCCAATATACAAAAAGGGTGACAGGCAAGAGGCACTGAATTACAGGCCAGTTTCCTTAACTTGTATACCATGCAAGGTGATGGAGAAGACTGTGAGGAAAAGGCTCGTAGAGCATCTGGAGGGAAATAACTTTGTAACGCACCACCAACATGGGTTCAGAGATGGTAAATCGTGCCTCACAGGTTTAATAGAATTTTATGACCAGGCAACGAAAATTAGGCAGGAAAGAGAAGGGTGGGCCGACTGCATTTTCCTGGATTGCCAAAAAGCCTCTGACACAGTACCCCATAAAAGGCTGTTAAAAAAGTTGGAGCAACAGGCAGGAGTAAAAGGGAAGGTGCTCCAGTGGATAAGGGAGTACTTAAGCAACAGGAAACAGCGAGTAACGGTGAGGGGGGAGACAACAGGCAGGAGTAAAAGGGAAGGTGCTCCAGTGGATAAGGGAGTACTTAAGCAACAGGAAACAGCGAGTAACGGTGAGGGGGGAGACATCAGAGTGGCGAGATGTCACCAGCGGAGTCCCACAGGGCTCAGTACTTGGACCCATCCTGTTTCTAATATATGTGAACGATCTTCCAGAGGGTATAGACTCATTCCTCTCGATGTTTGCTGATGATGCAAAAATTATGAGAAGAATCAAAACGGATGAAGATAGACAGAGACTACAGGATGACCTGGATAAACTGGAGGAATGGTCTAGAAAATGGCTGCTAAAGTTCAACTCGGGAAAGTGTAAGGTGATGAAATTGGGCGAAGGGAGCAGGAGGCTGAACACAAGGTATCATATGGGAGGGGAAATACTGCAAGAGTCAAATAGAGAGAAGGATCTGGGGGTTGATATCACACCGAACCTGTCCCCAGAGGCCCACATCAAAAGAATATCATCAGCGGCATATGCTAGACTGGCCAACATAAGAACTGCCTTCAGAAACTTGTGTAAGGAATCTTTCAGAACCCTGTATACCATTTATGTAAGACCAATCCTGGAGTATGCAGCTCCAGCCTGGAGTCCATACCTAGTTAAACACAAGACAAAGTTAGAGAAGATTCAGCGGTATGCCACCAGGCTCGTCCCGGAACTGAGAGGATTGAGCTACGAGGAAAGGCTAAAGGAGCTGAACCTCACATCCCTGGAAAACAGAAGAGTAAGGGGAGACATGATAACCACCTACAAAATTCTCAGGGGAATTGACAGGGTGGACAAAGACAAACTCTTCAGCACGGGTGGGACACGAACAAGGGGACACAGGTGGAAACTTAGTACCCAGATGAGCCACAGAGACGTTAGAAAGAATTTTTTCAGTGTCAGAGTAGTTAATAAATGGAATGCACTACGAAGTGATGTGGTGGAGGCTGACTCCATACACAGTTTCAAATGTAGATATGATAGAGCCCAGTAGGCTCATGAATCTGTACACCAGTTGATTGACAGTTGAGAGGCGGGACCAAAGAGCCAAAGCTCAACCCCCGCAAGCACAATTAGGTGAGTACACGTCTCGCTGAATATGACAGCATATTCCGTATTTAATATTTTCTGATTTAGGGCTTCTATCCCTCTTACTAATGCTCTTGCAAGAGCATTAGTAAGAGGGATGTACTGCTGGTGAACAGGTACATCAGGGTGAAAGAAACTGCCCATTTGTTTTCGCCATCGCCGAGCTCAATCCCCAGATCCTAGGATTATGAATCCCAAGCACTGTTCACTCAGCCATCAAGTCCCCTATGTGTGTTAGTGGCTCTGCATGAATGTAAAAATACCAATCTAATGTAATCTCACCAGCCCATTGTAACTTCTTGCAAATAAATTATTAATTATTATTATTATTATTATTATTATTATTAATTCCCGTTGCTATTTTGTGCGTAGTGATCATATACTGTGTATATATGTATATATATATATATATCTTGTCTTGTCTGTCTGTCTGTCTGTCTGTCTGTCTGTCTGTCTGTCTGTCTGTCTGTCTGTCTGTCTGTCTGTCTGTCTGTCTGTCTGTCTGTCTCTGTCACATGTAAACTACCTGTATGGAGACTGTTGTGGGCCGCTTCTTCAATCACTTGTGACATAAAAAAGACTTCTGATATATGTATTTGTGTAAAGGAAAAAGAAAATTGTTTAACTACACAAAATTATTACTGGATTAGCTAAAAAAAGAAAAGAAAAAAAGAACTATTGGGTTAAATTCCTGAACCCATCATGTGCCTCTGTAGTCCCTTTCCACCACCGTCCACGGCATGGGTATGGGGTGCGTAATAAATACAAATGAATTAACAGTTAAGTCTGTATGGCATATCAGGGGTATCTCACGCCTGCAAGAGTGTGGGCGCCCCACTGGGTCACACACAAGTGGCCCAGCAGCGTGACCTCGCCAGAAGCGTGACCTCGCAACAGCAGCGTGACCTCACCCAGCAGCGTGACCTCACCCAGCAGCGTGACCTCACCCAGCAGCGTGACCTCACCCAGCAGCGTGACCTCGCAACAGCAGCGTGACCTCGCCCAGCAGCGTGACCTCGCAACAGCAGCGTGACCTCACCCAGCAGCGTGAACTCACCCAGCAGCGTGACCTCACCCAGCAGCGTGACCTCACCCAGCAGCGTGACCTCGCAACAGCAGCGTGACCTCGCCCAGCAGCGTGACCTCGCAACAGCAGCGTGACCTCGCACCAGCAGCGTGACCTGGCACCAACACTTACCATCACCAGGAACGCACCCAGGACCACAGCTGTCAAGCTTGAAGTTCGGCCAGCCATAATACTTCAATCTGTGAAAAGAAATGATCATCATTTGTATCATAATTGTCTAATATTATTTACATAATTATATTTGTTTTTGTATTACCAGGTATTGTAATTTCCGCAATATTTAATGCTGCTGACGTATCCCAGACGCTGCCTTAATCGACTGAGAAGCAACAAAGACTTTTGTTCTGTTTTGCAGGGATATTCCTGCGCGGTCTCTTAGCCTCTGGCTAATGAATAGTGACTGATGATGATTGCGGGCGGGTCAGAAAATGGTTGGGCGTGATTCCTATCAACTAATGCTCCTGTTCACCTACCAGTCCACAGGAAACCCCAGGAGTCAAGTCGGCTTGTGGGGGGTTGCATCCTGGGGAGGGTCAGTAGTTTGACCTTGGTGGGGAGGTGGGGGAACTCGATATAAGCCTAGCATGTATCTTGAGGTTATCTTGAGATGATTTCGTGGCTTTAGTGTCCCCGCGGCCCGGTCCTCGACCAGGCCTCCACCCTCAGGAAGCAGCCCCCGACAGTTGACTTAACACCCAGGTACCTATTTTACTGCCAGGTAACAGGGGCATAGGGTGAAAGAAACTGTGCCCATCGTTTCTCGCCGGCGCCCGGGATCGAACCCTGGACCACAGGATCACAAGCCCAGTGTGCTGTCTGCTCGGCCGAATGGCTCCGCATATATAAAATGGTTTCCTGTTCCCCGACACAATGAATTATTGAATTATAATGAATGATAGTGATGATGGATACAGATAATGGATGGTGATGACATGATAATTGATAGATGATGAATGATGATTTATGGTAATGATGAAGGATGACGTTGAAGGGTTGGCAATATAATGAATGATGATGGGTGAGTGATCATAATGATGTATGATGATGATACTACTTGACGACGATAAATAACAGTGATCCTGGATGATGATGATGATGATGGATGAAAATAATGAATGAAAATAATGAATGATGACGCTAGATGACGGATGCTGCTGTATGACAGATGATAATGATTATGCTGGATGATGATGGATGACGATAATTATGCGGTATGGTAATGGTGGATTACGATAATTATGCTGGATGATGATGATTGGTGATAATTACGTTTGAAGATGATGGATATGAGGGATAATGACACCGATGATAATGCTGACAGATGACGTTTAATGACGGTGACAAATGATAATGATGCTGAGGATTAATGATGACGACAATGTTGGATGATATCTGATGATAATGGATGATGATGCTACTGATGCAGCAGCGGCGGTGGAGGGGGGGGAAGGAAAGGGGAAGGGGGAAGGGGAAGAGGAAGGGGAAGAGGAAGGGGGAAGAGGAAGGGGGAAGAGAAGGAGAGGGCTTGAAGAGACTGACCCAGTGACCGCTGGTGTCTACTCACTGGAGAGCGAAGCCTCTCCTCCATCCACTGGAGTTGAGGAAGGTGAACATTCCTCCCGCCCCCACGCCCCCATGGAAGGGGGGAGGGAGAGGAGGGAGAGGGGGGGAGGGGGGATGGGAGGGGGAGGAGGATTGCGGTTAAGATAACAGGAGATGCTTGATGGAATTCATGCCACGAGTTCTGAAGTGATGATTTGCGGGTCTGATGAACTGGTCGTCTAACAAAGGAAGGCGAAGCTTGTAACGGAGATTAATGTATTTGATTTACCTGAAGGGCCACTAACCCTAGTGGCCTCGACGAGGACAGGAAGCCGGCGGTTTGTCGAACCCTGTAGCCAGCACCCCTGTGGGAACCTTGTGGCCAGCACCCCTGTGAGAACCCTGTGGACAGCACCCCTGTGGGTAGTACAGGGCCAGCACCCCTGTGGGTAGTACAGGGCCAGCACCCCTGTGGGTAGTACAGGGCCAGCACCCCTGTGGCAACCCTGTGGCCAGCACCCCTGAGAACCCTGTGGCCACTAGTCCCATAACACACCTGGGACCCACACCTGAGGGGCCTGGTAGCCTGGTGGATAGCGCGCAGGACTCGTAATTCTGTGGTGCGGGTTCGATTCCCGCACCAGGCAGAAACAAATGGGCAAAGTTTCTTTCACCCTGAATGCCCCTGTTATCTAGCCGTAAATAGGTACCTGGGAGTTAGTCACCTGTCACGGGCTGCTTCCTGGTGTGTGTGTGTGGTGTGGAAAAAAACCCAGTTGATTGACAGTTGAGAGGCGGGTCGAAAGAGCAAAGCTCAACCCCCGCATACACACAAATAGGTGAATACACCTGGAAGATTTCTGTAACATCGTGTTCTGCCCAGAGGCTCTGGTGCTTCAAGGAAGCCTGTGTTCCTAGTGTTATCCTGTTCTGTACTCTCCCTACCACCTGTCACCTTGTCTCCCAACCTATGTAACATGTGATATTATTATCTGTTGGTCCCCGTGGCGCAGTGGTAAGCCACTCGCCTCACGTTTCTTGAAGGATTTGGCCTGGGTTCGTATCCTGGCCGGGGAGGATTGATTAGGCGCCAATCCTTAACTGTACACCTATGTTCCCCCAGCAGTGACTGGGTACCTGGTTGTTAAACGATTTGGCGGGTCATATTCGAGGAAAAATTAAGCTTTAGGATCTGCCTAAACGTTATGCGTGTTAGTGGCTTTACAAGACTGTAAGGACTTGAATAATAATAAAAAATCCCCACCTGTGTCCTCTCCTCACCCCACCTGTGTCCTCTCCTCACCCCACCTGTGTCATCTCCTCACCCCACCTGTGTCATCTCCTCACCCCACCTGTGTCATCTCCTCACCCCACCTGTGTCCTCTCCTCACCCCACCTGTGTCATCTCCTCACCCCACCTGTGTCATCTCCTCACCCCACCTGTGTCATCTCCTCACCCCACCTGTGTCATCTCCTCACCCCACCTGTGTCATCTCCTCACCCCACCTGTGTCATCTCCTCACCCCACCTGTCTTGTCCCTAGTTCGTCCTCACCAGCATCAGCAGTACAGTTGGGTTCGTTCTCGCCTCGCAATCGAGAACCCTGGGCGGGAGGGAAATGTTTGGGCATGTTTTCTTTCACTTAATAATCATGTTCACCTAGCAGTAAAAAGGTACTAGAAAGTTAGTCAACTTTTGTGGTTGCATCCTGGCGAAGGTCAGTAGTCAGTAGTGTACTATCTATAAATTCAACAGTCTCCGTGGTGTAGTGGTAAGACACTCGCCTGGCGTTCCGCGAGCGCTATGTCATGGGTTCGTATCCTGGCCGGGGAGGATTTACTGGGCGCAATTCCTTAACTGTAGCCTCTGTTTAACGCAACAGTAAAATGTGTACTTGGTTGTAACAACGATTCTTCGCGGCGGGGATCGTATTCCAGGGACCTGCCCGAAACGCTACGCGTACTAGTGGCTCTACAAGAATGTAACAACTCTTGTATATATCTCAAAAAAAAAAAAAAAAAAAAAAAAAAAAAAAATCCATCAACTTTTGTATTTCACTTTGTATGTATGTACTTTACCTGAATAAATATTTGTATTTTTTTTGTAGTTCGACCTTGGGGGGAGGAAGAGGGGCTCCATATAAGTGTAACGTATCGAAGTCCCTCCCTCTTGTAGTATGGCTTAGTATGCAAGGTCCGATGTGCCTAACAGCTAGAATGATTTTCGTTATTTTCAAATATTTCTTTCCAGATTGGTTCTTCTCTATCAAAAATAATTTATCATACTATGAACATGAATTACTGACTTAGTTATAATAGGTTAGATAAAATTTGTTACTTTTGACTCAAATAACATCAAATTGCAAGCATGTATAATACAATGAAAACTTTATTATTGCATAATAATTTGTTTTTGAATAATGAATTGAATGGGGGATGCATAATAAATGAACTAAACTAACTCTCTCCACGCAGTTTGCGTGAAGATTAAGTCTTCCCCGTATGCTTTGTAGGTCCTGCCCCAACACCCTGTCAGCGTGCTGTTGTCTTTCAGCTGAGGCTTGGCTGCCACCAGAGTGGCAGGCATGTCGCGAACACGGCCAACTTAAATGTCCTGTTCGACTAATTAGATGGCATATACTATCCTTCCTTTCTATGGTACGTACAGTTTACTTAACGGCTTCCTCTTGCCAACTATACTGCATGGGAGATGATGCTGTGAAACGTATGACGGAGGTGGGTCATTGTTGACGGTAAGTAAAGCTTCGGTTGTTTCTTGGATTTAATGTTTATCATCCCGATGGCCTCACGAATATTAATGTTGGGAGACGCGTCACCGTGGCGCGTCAGTGTTGAGAATGACAAGAGTTGGAGAGTTTTGTTTGTCGTCTTTTGATTCAGACACAGAAACGGAGACTAAAACCCAAAGACATGTGTTAGAAGGACACAAATGGCTGGATGTTGTGTTTACATCGTCGGTCGTCGGATAATCGTTTCGCCTCTTGTTCCTGGATTCACGTTTTCTATGGTCAGTTGTCTGGCTAACATAAAAATTTATTTAGATACTTTGGCGCTATGACATTAAAGTTTAATAATTACCATAATTAGGGGTCCCGGTAGTACAGTCGGGTTCGTTCTCGACGCACAATCGAGAATTCCGCGTTCGAATCCCGGACGGAACAGAAGTAGTTGGGCACAATTCCTTTCATCTAGCCTGTTCACCTAGCAGTGAGTAGGTACCCAGGAATTAGTCAGCTAGCGGGGTTAGTACTCGGCCTTGGGGGGAGGGGGGGGGGGTACCTCGATGAAAGCCAAAACATGTATGAATACACTCTGGTTTCTTGTCCCCCGACACAATAAATTATGAATTATAATGCAAAATCTTAAGAAGCACAGACCTAAACAAAGTTCAAAGTTCAAAGCGTTTTGCCCGAAACGCTATGCGTGCTAGTGGCCTTACAAGAATGTAAAATCATCATCATTACTACGTACTCTCTTAACCCCCAATGTACCTTCTTGTATATAAATAAATAAATAAATAAAATAAATAAAGATCAGGAGAGGGCAGGTGATCTTGATAGCAGACGGAGGAGAGGATGTAGTTCTTCTCCCACCCACACACAACTAACTCTAGTATGAAAAAATGCAAGACTTTGCATGTGGGGCATAACAACTCACGTTACAACTACCAAATTAATAACATTGCATTGCAGCAGGTTAGTGAAGAAAATGACCTTGGAGTCAAAATTCATCATTCACTGAAAGTTGCACAACAGGTAAGAGCAGCAGTACAAAAAGCTAACCTAACCATAGGAATAATCAAGGGTACCTTTGACTTTAAAGAAAAGAAGGTGGTGATTCAATAATATAAATCTCTGATGCACCCCCACTTGGATTACTGTATCCAAGCATGGAGACCTTATCTTCAGAAAGACACAGCTGCTTTGGAGAAAGTACAACACCGGGCGACAAAAATAATTCCAGAACTAAGTCAGATCTTCCTCCTTGGAACGACTGAGGGTCGTTCTTTAGTTTCTTCTTTCACGGAGGAAACTGCCTTTAGCATTATATGTACTCAACTTTTTTCCCTTACTCCTTACCTCTTCTCCTACCACCTCACAATCGGAGATCCCGGGTTCGATCCCCGGGCGAGACAGAAATGGCTGGATATATTTCCTTTCGTATTATGCCTGCATTCACCTAGCAGTACATTGGTACACGGGAGTTAGTCAAATGATGTGTGGGATTGCATCCTGAGGAAGTTCAGGAGTCCGACCTACGGGAGGCCCTCGATGCAAGCCTAGGCATAACTAGGCTTCCCGCCCCCGACAACGGGAATAATTATCAACGTTGGGTTATGCACTTCGACAGCTAGAAATACAATGAAAATTCAGACCTATATAAACAATAAGGTTTATTCCGGTTATGTACTAATAGATGCAGATAAATAAAATGCAGAATAAACCTTAGAGTTGTGAAAGACAGGGGCCTTAAGAAGACTTTGATAAAGCCGCCTTCAAACGCCATAGCAACTTCTAATTCATTTGACGTTTTGGAGGACGAGTGCTGTGGTGAGACTGCGGATCGCGCAAACGGGAAAGCAACGAAGAGAAAGGAAGCGCAGGCCCCTCTTAAAGTAAAGGAAGTACCTAAGCAAACATTAGTTGTGGGAGATTCCCAGATAAGGTATTTGGATAGAACGTTTTGTGCTAGAGATAGGGGGAACAGGTTAAGGGTTTGCTATCCCGGAGCTGGCATTGGTGATATTATAAACAACATGAATGATATTATGGCTGGTAATGGGAACAATCCCATTATTTGCATTAGCGTGGGAGGAAATGATGTTGGTCGAGTTAGGAGTGAGGAACTGATGCAGAGGTATAAAACAGCCATAGAGTTAGTTAGGAGCAAGGGAGGAATCCCGATCATATGTGGCATTCTTCCAAGAAAGGGAGTGGGAAATGAATGGATATCGAGGGCACTTGGTGTCAATTGCCGGCTGGAAAGATATTGCAAATCAAATGCAATATCTTTCATAGACAACTGGGAACACTTCTATGGAAGAAATGAAATGTATGCTCGTGATGGGGTGCATCTATCGAGAGCTGGGGTTGTTGCTGTTGCGAACTCGTTAGAAGAAGTGGTTAGAGGTGTTTTTTTGGGTTTAAACTGTTAGTAGATAGAGGTATGGGAATTGATTTGGAGGAAGGAGGTAATAAAAGTATGTGTTTGTGGGAGAAAGGAATTGGCAAAACGATCAGGGAAAGAGAAGGTCCGCAAAATAACAATTCACTTAGGGTATATTACACTAACAGTAGAAGTCTAAGAAATAAAATTAACGAATTAAATGCTCTTGTCTGCACAGAAAAAATAGATATTATTGCACTTACCGAAACGTGGATGAATGTAGAAAATAGAGAACTATTAGCTGAATATCAAATATATGGATTTAAACTATTTCACACAGATAGATATATTAGACGAGGAGGTGGAGTAGCCATATATGTTAGGGACAATTTGAAATGTAGTCTCAAAGAGGGAATCAAAACAGAGCCACACACAGAAACTATCTGGATAGAATTAAACGAAAAAGCTAATAATATTATAATAGGAGTAATATATAGGCCACCAAATTTAGACAGAATGGAAGCAAAGCATCTATGGGATGAAATATCTAGAGCATCTAGATCTAACAGTATTTATGTCATGGGTGACTTTAATTTTAGCGGAATAAACTGGTTGAACAAAACAGGGAATAGTGAAGCAGAAGATTTTCTAGAATTAATTGACGATTGCTTTCTTACGCAACACATTAAGGAACCAACACGGGAAAATAATATTTTAGATTTAGTGTTAACTAACAGGGAAACGCAAATTAATGACATCGAAATAGGGAGTGAGCTAGGGAGCAGTGATCACAAAGAAATCAGATTTAGCATAGAATGGAATAGACCAGTAGGAGAAAATTCTGTTAAAGTGCCAGATTTTCGAAAAGCTGATTTTAATAGCCTAAGAAATTTTTTGGGTCAAATTGATTGGAAACTCTTGGGTATGGGGTGTGGGCCGGTCTTGGAGCGAGACATGAACCCAGCGATAGGTGACTTAAATGGGGATTTCGATGTGGATTCAATATATAACTTATTTAAGAATATTCTAAACAAAGCACAGGAACGTAGTATACCATACAAATTGAATAGATCGAATACTAATGACCCAAAGTGGATAACAAAGAATTTGAAGAACCTTATAGGTAAAAAGAGAGCTTGGTACAAAAGGATTAAAAATGGGGAGGTCACTTTAGAACAGGAATTCGTACAACTGGTTAGAAATGTTAAAAAAGAGATAAGGAAAGCAAAAAGAAACTATGAAGTTCGCATAGCAGAGCAAGCAAAGACAAATCCTAAAGGGTTTTTTCAGTTATATCATACCAAGACTAGGGAAAGGATAGGTCCATTAAAAACTGAGACAGGTCAAATAACAGATAGTGATGAAGAGATGAGTAGTATTTTTAATAAATATTTTGTATCTGTATTTACTAAAGAGGAACTTAACAATATGCCTTCAGCCGAACAAGTCTATGTGGGTGGGGACGAGGACAGGTTGACGAGTTTAGCAGTTACCAGGGAGGATGTTCTTAAACAAATAGTAAAACTCAAACCAAACAAATCCCCAGGGCCGGATGAAGTGTTTGCCAGGGTGCTTAAAGAATGCAAAGAGGAGCTTTGTGACCCACTGTCAACCATATATAATAAATCAATAGAGTCAGGCAGAGTGCCAGAGTTTTGGAAAGTTGCTAATGTGATACCAGTTTTTAAGAAAGGAGATAGATCACTTGCGTCTAACTATCGACCAATTAGCCTAACGTCTATTGTGGGAAAGTTACTCGAATCTATAATAGCAAATAAAATTCGTCTTCATCTTGAAAAACATAAATTAATAATTGAGTCGCAACATGGTTTTATAAATGGCCGTTCATGTTTAACAAATTTGTTATCTTTTTATTCTAGCATTGTTGAGGCAGTTGATAGTGGTAAGGATTGCGATGTTGTATACCTTGACTTTAGCAAAGCTTTTGATACAGTGCCACATGAAAGACTGATTAAAAAGATAGAGTCTCATGGTATTGGGGGTGCTATATTAAGCTGGATTAGGGCATGGCTATACCAAAGGAAACAGAGAGTTAGTATAAATGGAATCAAGTCAGAGTGGGAAAATGTTGTAAGTGGAGTGCCTCAAGGCTCTGTCCTGGGACCTCTGTTGTTTATAATTTATATAAATGATTTAGATTCAGGTTTGAGTAGCAACATTTGCAAATTTGCCGATGATACGAAAATCGGTAGGGAAATTAATTCGGAGGAGGACTCACTATCACTTCAAGTTGATCTAGATAGGGTTTTGAAATGGTCAAAGGATTGGCAGATGCAGTTTAATGCTGATAAATGTAAAGTTCTGAGGTTAGGTAATGATGATAGAGTTACAAGATACGAGCTAGATGGTGTTGTGATTGCGAAGTCGGATTGCGAAAGGGATCTGGGAGTTATGATTAGTAAGAATTTAAAACAAAAGGATCAATGCATAAATGTTCGTAATAAGGCAAATCGGACACTTGGATTTATTAATCGCAGCGTTAGTAACAAGACACCTGGTGTGGTTCTCAAGCTATACCTTGCTCTAGTTAGGCCCCATTTAGATTATGCAGTTCAGTTTTGGTCGCCATATTATAGAATGGATATAAATTCACTTGAACGTGTCCAGCGTAGGATGACTAAGTTAATTCCCCAAATTAGAAATCTTTCATATGAAGAAAGATTAACAAAGCTTAAGTTGCATTCACTGGAAAGGCGAAGAGTTAGGGGTGACATGATAGAGGTTTACAAGTGGATGAATGGACATAACCGGGGGGATATTAGTAGGGTATTAAAAGTATCAACACAGGACAGAACACGAAACAATGGGTATAA